CAGGAAAGTCTGGAATTATATAGGAGCCTAATAAATAGGGTAGATAAACCTATCTACTTAAAAAAAAGACTTGCTTGGAATTTTACCAGCAGTGACCAAAACTAGACCGGTTTTCTAATTTCCTCCCTACCTCTATAAAGCCTTCAAACTTGGTATGTTTTCAACAGTGGAAGCAGAAGTAATGAAAAGTCTCAAAAAACTATTTTCATATTTCTGGCCCACCTAGAAGTATAGTGCACTGGAAACTTTCTCTTTGTGAGAAATGTATTTCCATTTTGTAGCCCAAATAGTTAAAAAAACCATAGGGGCTCTTCTACAGCTGATTTTGCTAATGGAGACTGTAATTTATTCCAAAGCATTTTGGAACATGTCCTTTGTGTACCCAGAAGTACCCAGAAGTTGCAAACCTGTAAAATACTTCACAAAGTAAAGGTCCTTTGTGCAAAAAAATACCTCTTCTTGCATAGAGGTCAGAGGAAAAGCCAAGTTTCTGGGTGCTTCTCCAAACTGAACCAAACCACTCAACCTGCTGAGGGCTTTTGGCAATTCTAGTGCTATGGTGGGTTTAAATAGACCTCTCTCCTTAACGATAATTAACTCCCTATGTAATCTGTGATTCTTTAGACAAGAATGTTTCTTCTTAATTTTTCCAGGCATAGTCATGTTATCTGGACACAGCAGGAACTGGGAGGGCAAGTTACTCATTATTTTCAGATTTTGAATCACCTTGACAGGTGTTTGAACCAACTCCATTAGAATCTAATTGTAGAATATAATACATTCTTCTCCCTATTCGCACAAGGAACTCCCTTTAACATGTGCCTGAGTTAGTCATCCACAGCAACAAGGATATTTAAGTCTCACTTCTGCTATAAAGGTTTTTACTGTAGAAATGACCTACACTATAGGAGGCAAAAGAACACTCAGTCTAACAGTTGAAAACTACATTATTCCACTACCATATGTACATCTAGTGTCTGTGACTGTTGCAACTGCATCATATTCCATATTTTCAAAGCTTCATATTTTGTAAGTCAAATTATGGTTTTTCCAGTCAATTTTGATTAGAATGATGAATTTCAGTAGCTATTGACTTGCTGTTTGAATAGGTTTGACACCACTGACATAGATTATTTTAAAAAGAAAACCCATGCCGTGCCAGCTTCTTAACGAAATCCTAATTATTATTACAATCAATTATAAATACTAAGATCTTGAGAATGGCACCAAATGTCACTTTCTAAGCAGGAAAAAGACCCCAAGCCACAATATTTCCATCCTATGCACTTAATTAAAAAAAAATCCTATTAATTTTAGAGTATTGGACTTCTCATTTCTCCAAGTCAGTCTGACTGAGCCAATTCATGACCAACTTACCATGCATTTTTTTCACTTGTCTGGAGGGGCAGAAGGTCTAACAGATTTATTCTAGATTAGCAAACTACATTATAAAATAACTTCATCACATATAGCTGTGATGTTCTTTAGTTTGCAGCAAATTTCGATATGTGAAAGGTTTCCCTTTCACTCCCATGTTGAACATCCTGTGGAAAAGTGCTGACAACACACACAACTCCCTTCTCTGCCCCCATGTGCTATTAACACTAATTACAATCACCAATTACTGCGGTGCTGCAAAAGACACAACAAGGTCAATTGCCTCTGCTATCACTAGACATTCTACTTAGTCCAGAATCCATATTAAATTGGAAAAATCCATTAAATTAGAAGTCTCCCATGGATCCAATTTAAACCTAGTGATTCTTGCAGTAAGATCTACCATTTAATGGGGACCATAAGTCTATGTAATTGGGATGTTTCAATTTAGATGTTCATGCCATGGAGGGACATGCTGAGACCTACTATAGACTGGTCTTGTTTGCTCCTGAGCTACCACACTTTAGAAAAGCATAACTTATTCACTATGCTGAATCCCTGGTAAAATAAGCACTTACGCACATAGTGAGCTTTAAGGATATGACTAGTCCCTCTAAAGTTCATGGGGCTTGGATCCAATGCTCTGGCCCTAGCTATAAGCCAGTGTACACTATGCCTGGCAATGTGCTGTCTTTGACAGTCCCTTCAAGCCAGAAAGGAATCAGACTTCATATCCAAGCACCAGATGCAAACTCCATAAACTGTACTTTCCCCCTTTCTTCTCCCTGTCTTCATCCCAGTTTTAAACTTCTTCATATCTCCCCACACCAAGAAACTGCACGTATCATTGTCTTACCCCTTTACAGGTACATGGTAATAATCATGTATAGCATAGGCAATCACCAGTCCTCTGGATAAGGAGTTCCCAACATTTTTTTTGTAGAGGACCAGCAAATCACAGACCGGAAGTGACCGCGGACTGGCAAACTGTGGGCCAGCAGTGACTGGTATACTGTGGACAGGCAGCCAACCCTTTTTTATACTGACTACTGTACTGACTACAATATAAAAAAGGGTTGGCTGCCAGTCTGCAGCATGCCAGTCACTTCCAGTCTGTGGTTTACTGGTCAGCAGTCACTGCTAGTCCAGTCCAGCAGCCAACCCTCCTGAGGACTGGCAGCCAACTCTTCACGGCCCAGCACCGTTGGAGTTGGGAACCCCTGCTCCAGATCATGGTATGTGTAAGAGATCTAGTCATGTGATTGATGAATCTGCTTGTGTCTGACAAGCCCAATTCAAGAGCAACACAGATTGTTATAAGCATTACAAATCCATGTGTTGTCTGAATGGGAATCCAAGTTTCCAGCATGCTGCTTCCTCCTTTCTTGCTTTACTGTGAGTCAAAGTAGCTTCATGTTGTTGGCACCCAGTGCCAGACATTCCCTCCAGATTGGATGGGATTCTTTGCACTCCTCCCAGATTTCTATGTTGATATTAGAATCATAGAAAATTGGGGCTGGAAGGGACCTCCAGAGTTCCTCAAAGCAGGACCATCCCAATACAGTTCTTTCCAGCCAAGGCTTTGTCAAGCCAGGTGTCTCAGAGCACTTAGGTGCCCTGCTCCTTTGAAGAGTGGAAACTGCTAGGGGAAGAGCCCTAGCAGTGAGTAGGGAGCCCCAGCTGCTGCTTATGAGGGCAAGCAGAGTGAGCTAGTGGTCCACACCTGCCAGCAGTCAGCTGACTGGGAGGGTCAGGGCCTGGCTCACATACAAACCCCAGGGCTGAGGCTAGGATGGCTGTTCCCTACCAGCAGCCAAGGAGGAAAGAGCTCTCCCAGAGCAAGCAAAGGGGAGAGGCCTGACTGCAGGTACAGCCTCTGATACTGGTGAGGAACGGAGCACCCCTGGCTTGAAAGATGTTATAGCCGGGTGGCTTAAATTTATGTTATAGCCCAGGGGCTTGTGTTTTGTTTGCTGTTTAAGACCGGTGGTTTGGGTGAGGCTACTAGGGGAAGGAGAAGGCCTCATAGGGGACGCACGGCAGCATGGGGACCCTGGCACCAGAGAGGGTACAGCATTGGGGGTGTACCAACCCCAGCACCAGAGAAGGCACAGTGCAAGGCAGGGGGCTAAACTATAACAAGACCCAGACTGAACAATGTCAACTCCCTCTGCGAGGCTTGGGGCATGGTAAAGGGGTGGTTGGAGCCACACACAGCCCATAAGGCTAGGGTGCCCTGAAACACCCATTGCAGAATGGGACCCACAAGGGGTACAGGAGCTGATAGGGTCAGAGTACAGCAAAACAGTGTCCAAGAAGATGTAAAGGAAACCTCTCTAATATATATTTACCAACAAAGACATGGCAGGAAAGAATCGATGGTGCCCATTGGGCCAACTTGACACGGTAAGGGGGCCTTGGAGAGAAAACGGCCATCCTGTAGGACCCCATGCCGTGACACCAGGTATTAAAAATCTCCATGGATGAAGACTCCACCACCTCTCTAGGTAACCCATTAGAATGCTTCACCTCCCTCTTAGTGAGAGCTTTTCCTAATATTCAAATTCAACTTCCTTTGCTGCAACTTGAGACCATTGATCCTTGTTCTGTCATCTGCCACCACTGAGACTAGTTTAGCTCCATTTTCTTTGGGATTACCCTTCAGGTAAAGGCTGCTATCAAATCCCCTCTCGGTCTTCTCTTCTGCAGACTAAATAAGCCCAGTTCCATCAGTCTCTCCTCAGAAGTCATGTGCTTCCCCGCCCTAAACATTTTCATTGCCCTGCACTGGACTCTCTTCAACTTGTCCACATCCTTTCTACAGTGGGTGGGCCTACAACTGGACACAGTATATTGTTGTGCCAAAATTACTTGAAGTTGTTCATGTTGTGGTACCTCCATAGAGGGGAACCTGCATTCTAGAGCTGTCTCAAATCTCAGTATAAAAAATATTCTTGGAGATCCGATCTCGTATTTTTTTTTACATGGCTGAGCTATTGTAACTTCTTCTTGATAGTAGTTTTTAAGTGTGTGAGTCCTCCATCTTCCAGCACCTCTGTGTTTGGTATCTTGTCTTCCCACTTTATTTCCAGGATCTTATATAGGCATCTCATGCAGAAACTGTTCAGTCTCCTGATGTGTCTAGCATATGAAGTCCATGTTTCTTGGCCATAAAGCAGAGATGACAGCATGCAAGTCTCCTAGAAATGGAAGTCACTAAAGTACAGTGATGGGCAAGACAGCCAGTTAGCATTTCACTTTTGATTCTTCCTCACTACTAATAATTTAATTCTAGGTGGTGCTGTGACAAAAATGGTGAACAGAAGCTGCTCAGAAAAAAAAAAAAGTTCTTTTACAAGTACTGAAAGTTAAGTTACAATGAACAAGAGCATTGGGATTAAAAACAAAAAAACAAAAAAACCCCAACACACACAAACCCAAAGGGTTAAATTTGGGCTTCAGGAGCATTCATAGCTAGGGACCTACCTAAATTGCAGCAGAAGTTCACGGTGCAGCAGTACCTTTTAATCTTGCTCGTTTCACCATGTGCCCCTCTCTCCTCCTGCCATGGAGTGGCTGAGAGGCAATTAATGCTGTGGTTTCTGCGGGGGGCTATGGGTCAGAGAGAGAAAGATTAAAGGCACCACTGTGTCACAAACTTCCACCATGATTTAGATAGGTCCTTCTCATAGCAATGGTAGTAATAAATATGGTATTAGTCTTGGAGGGCATTGTGACTCAAATGCATAATTCCTTCTTTGATTCTTCCTTGCTCCTGGAACACAGTAATTCACTTCTGATTTATAATCAGCAGTAAATTATGACCCATGTTGGCTTATCTCCTGTGGACATTCCTGCCCACAGTTCACTTACCTTGCTTTTACTGTTGCTTTCCAATACAGCATATGGCAGAGGCAAAATACACCTATGGAGTAAGCTCTTCCACTTATTGCTTTGTCCCTGGAGCATGACCCAGGTAATTCAAGAAGTGTAAGGTGGGCACTTATTGCTGTTACTTCCTTTGTATGGGCACCTAGGAAAGAAAGTTTGGAAAGTTTACAGTTATGTTTAGAAAGAAGAAAGTTAAGTTAGATCTGAATCACAAGTGAATAGCATAAGAATTGAAAACCATATTGTAGCAATGAAGAAGTGCAAAGATGTATAGTAAAAACACAGATTTATTCAGAAAAGTAGCCACATTGAAGATGATTGTAACAAGATAGCTCTCAGGGCTGGGCACCAGGCCAGCCCACCTTCCTATCTGGGCAAACTACATGTTTATTCTCACTTGCCATGTGTAAAGGGGGGTCTTCTCAGGGCCTGTCTCAGAGTGGCCTGCCCACCTGTTCCTGGGCTAACAGCCCAAGTTCTCACCTGCCATGCCTTGATGTTAATTGATTAATAGATGTAATTAAGTGGGAGGCTGCCCATTTACTGCCCTGATGCCAGGGGGTGCTATCTGAAGCTGCATTCCTCCCCTACACCGCAGCCCAAGCCTCGCAGATAGCATCTAGCTGTTCTCATCATCACTGACCCCACACTGGGTCCCAGAATCCTCCTATCAGGACCCCTCCAAGATCCCTCCATTCAGGCGGCCTACCCCGCCTTCATTCAGACTATCTAGCTCCCTGAAAATATTTACCCCTCTTGGGTGTGGTCCCCCTGGGACCTTTGGCTACCAGCCCTGGCCCACCTCCAGGCCAGTCAGAACCCCAGGCCCTCAGCTCTTGGGCATTCCTCACGGTGGGCCCCTGGCCCTTTTGACGGTCCTGGTCCTGGCCCTGGCCCCAGCATTGACCAGTCAAAGGTACTCTCTTGATCAGGTCTGAGTCTCTAGCCCCTCTCTCTTTCCTGGGGTCTGCTATCCGGGTCCTACAAACAAAGGGGTTACCCACCTGGTGGTGGGGGCTAGGGGTTAAGGTGCCCCAACCTGCCTTTCACTGGGGTGGTAACTGGCCTGGCATTTCCTGGGGGCTCCCGTGCCACTGGGAGCCCCACCAGGCCACCCACTCCCTTCAGGGTGCAGTTTTAGGTCATACCCAGGACCAGGAGCCTCCTTACCATCTCCTACAGCTCCTCCCTTACCTCCAGATGATATCAGCAGCCCTCCAGCCAGGCAATGTTGTTGCCTGGCCCCCAGCATCAGAACTGCCCTGTTTATATGGGCTGCCCTAATCAGGCACCTGCCGGCTGTTGCCTTCTAGCCCTTAAAGTGGCAGGCACAAACAGTGCCCTGCCACACCATGCCTTGATGTAAACAATAAATTGCTTATATTTAAGTGGGAGGCTACCCATTTTTTTTTTAAGCCAGATGTCAAGGGCATTATCCATAGCTTCATACCACCCCTACACCATGGCCCATGCCTCACAGATGGCATCCATAATTGCACTGTGCCTCACGCGAACCCATGGTCCAGGGTCTCACCAGGACTCTCACTCCCCCCTGGAGCACAACACCACTATGCCACCACACTGTGTTCTTAGACTTTAACTCATGCCCCTCACTGGGATTCCCTTCTCTAATTGTACTGGTCAGCTTCGGACCATCTTCAGGCCCTACTCTACAGTGCTGCCAGCTATGACTAGGATAGTCAGCATATGGTGCAGCTCTTCAGACCATCTTAGGCACTACTCTACACTACTGCTGTCTGGCACTACTCCACACAGCTGTGCAGTACTTCAGGCCATCTTTAGGCCCTGCTCTACACCACTGCTGGATCCCTATTACTCTACTCTGTCTCCTTGCTAGGGTCTCTGAGCCTCAGGCATCTGGTGACCTACCTGGGCCCTATTAACTCATCCTACAGCTGTGCAGACTTCAAGTGTCTGTTAACATACCTGGACCCTTTGAGGCATTACATCCACTTGGGCTTCAGGTGCTTGTTGACTTACCTGGACTCTGGCTTTGGCCCCACATGGTGGGCCTAGGCCTGTGCACTTTTCTGTTAGGGTTTTCTCCCCTAGCTTTTCCCCTCCATAGGGTAACCCACAAGTCAGCTGGGCCTGAGGCTTTCTGGTGCCCTATACTCACCCTTCACTGGGGAGGCACAGGTGTGGCATTTCCTGGAAGCTGCCCTGCCACAAACAGCTCCACCACACCATCCAGCCCCAGCAGGGCTAATTTTAGGTCATTCCCAGGACCAGGAACCTCCTGCCATGCCCATAGTTCCTTACCCTGTCCTCCAGGTGTTCCTGAGCAGCAGCTCCAACCAGGCAATGTCCTGCCCCTGGCAGCTTGCAGCAACTGCTGCTTGCTTTCTTGCTCAAGCCTGCTCTTATAGCTAGCAGCTGACCTTTCTTCCCCAATCAGGCATTCTCCTGGTGCCCATGTGACTCCTAATTGGAGAGTACTGCCACCTGTAGGCTCTCTCTCCTGCCTACCCAGGCCCTTTGAATGGCAGGCACCACAAGGCCTGCTACAAGCAGGCACCCAAAGGTGCCCTGCCACACCGATAAAAAAAACCTGTCAGTTAAATTCATCATAGGGAAAATGTGAACACCTGAGTATCTTGAGGCAGAGAGCAACCGCTTGAAGATGAGACATGAAAGACTCTAAACGATTTTTAATCATGTTAACAATTTATTATTCAACCATGATAGCAAGGTGCTGAGAAATATTTAGCTCCTTTTTCCCATGTGGGGAAGGAGAGTTCACATAGGCCTTGTCATAACTGTCCTAGCCAAAATTCTTCTTCACTCCCAAATCTCTTATTTTACAATGTGGAGTAATATGACAGATTCCTGGCCCAAGGCCAGGAACTTTGCATTTCTGTGGAATTAGCAAAAATGCTAATTTGGGCATTTGCTTCTAGTGAAGGCTTTTTAAGCTAGCTGAGGCTTCAAGGCTATTTGAGACGGTGTCAAATAAGAAAACAAAAGAGGCACCTGTCACTAGTCCCAAACTACAAAAAGAGATGGCACTTGAGGAATTGAAATTATTATTATTTTTTTTACACAGGGAATCCAACAATGTAAAAGGACAGCAATAGGAACAATTAACATTAATGACTTCTAAATAAGAACAAAAAAAAGAGAGAGAGAGAAAATATGGTGGTTTCTTTCCAGGAACTGCTCCAAGACGGGGGTGGGGACAGATTTAGATAAATTTCCTGATCTGCTTCCACCAAGGCACTTGAAACAATGGGATATCAATGTGTAAGGGCATTTTGGAGGCAATGGGATGTACAGATTTGACTACAGCTCTTCCTCTGCAGTAAGGTTATGACTATAACGGCCATGAGGATCATATTGACCAGACTGGATAGCTTCAAGTCTCTGTATGTAGAGCAGGGGGTGGAGATAAGGGTGCAGGGGCTAGAGTTTAACAGGAAGACCAGTCAAAATGATACTCCACACCCACTGTTGACTATTAGTACAGTTCTCATACTAGTTCAGGACCCTGGTTTTAATTTTAAGATTCAGCCTATGCTAGAGGCTGCTTTGTTGTATTCCAGTGAAACAAACAATACCCCCAGAGATGGGCCAAACCAGAACGTTTATCCAGGCCAGGGAGCATGGATCTGGGGCAGGGTGGCATGGGAAAGCTGGGACAGCTTCACCTGTGCTATACCCATTATAAGAGTGGGCAAGATTTCAGTGGGAAGGTCTACACTGCACTTGCACACAATAGTCATACATGATCTAGTTCAGATATCAGTAGCAGATATAACAACAGATCAACATCAGCTAGCCACCCAAGTAGATCCCCTGCTTCTTGTGCAGCTCCTGTAGCCAGTGCTAGGCTTGATGTGGCTGCAGGAGACTCCTCCAGCTTAAGGTAGTTTAAAGCTGGCTAGGGCATATCTACCCTGTTCTCACAACAAATAACTTCAGTGAAGACAAGCTCCTAGTTGGTCAGTGTGGCACTTCCCTAATGCACAAGAAAGTGAAAGTCCAGCACCTGCATCCCATCTTTAAGTATTTTCTTTATGACTTAATGCCCTAAAGAGTATTTCTCATGAAGTGAATAGATATGGAAAAATTTTGAACAGTTTGACCTTGCTGGTTCAAGTTATAAAGCTGATATTTTTTTAATGTTAAAAAAAAAATGTAACAGTTGAAAGTCAGTTTAATTTTTCCTCCACTACCTGCATTGCCTTTCCTCTTCATCCCAAGCCATATGCACTGCAGTTTGTGCAGCGTTCTAACCTAGGCAAGAAAGGTGCAGCCACCAAATCTAGAGTTGGCCAATGAGATGCTTTGGGTTTTCAATAAGCTAGTAATTTTTCTACAAGGTCTTGCTATTAAAAAACAGAAAATATTTATTCTGCTATTGCGATTTATGCTTATTCTGGCAAAAACATCTCCGTAAACATCTCAGATTTTCCACATCTACAAGATCTGGCACCCAGTCAGGATTTTGCATCTTTTCCAGTGACTAATAATCAATTTTACAGCAATATGATAGGCCTCTTGTCACAAGGCTATGTGTCAACAAACATGTACTGAGCCCTCATTTAGCTCCTGATACAAAACCAAACCCTCCATGCCACATCAGAAAGGAATCACACAGGCAGACACTCTTGCAGCTGCAGAACCCCACTGAATGCCACAGTTCTCAGGTTAGGTTTGAATTTAGAGTGATATTTCCATGAACTCCTATACCAGTATCTTTGATTATATAACATTCATCTGAGATCTAAATTCTCATGTTTTGGGACATGAGCCAAAACAGTTACTGCCTGAGGTTAGAAAGAAACTTCCGGAAGGGGCATGTTAGTATATAATTGTCCATTGTAGGGGTTCCTCTGAAGCATCTGGAATTAACATCAAAGAAGAAACAGTGGAAAATCCCATGTTCCCAGGAATTAAAATGTAAGCTTGCCAGATGTGTAAAAAGACTGAAATAGGAAAAGATCTGGATTTAGAAGAGAACATTCATGAAAAAATTAAGTCAGTGTTCCTTCTGCCGAAATGACGGTGAAGAGAAGAAACAAGTTCATTAATTTTACAAAGTTGCTTAGGAGTTAATGTCTACAAAGGTCAGAACGACACTTTTCTGAGTAGATAAAACCTTCTTCTGAAGAAGCTACCTTAATAAGGGCACGTTAACCTCAAATATAGCCAAGTGTTCCTAACTTAATCCTAGATATCAGAGCAGAGGTGTGCTCCAAGAAGAGAGTGCAGAGGACAAGATATAGAGTTATTCTGGGTGTTGACAACTACTGTCAAAATGCTAGCTCATAGTTTTCACTCATTTTTTCACAATAGAAGAATAAAAGCAATTCTTCTGTTGCAAAGAATTCAGAAAGAGCCAAATAGGTCTGAATCCTTTTGACACTAGATTCCTATTTGAGATCTTTGGGCGCATCCACACATGCAAGCATGTGCACTTACAGCAGCTCAAATAGAAGCGATGCAAATTTGAGCAGGGACTTTTTGCATCAGCGCACATGCTCAGACATGCACTTTGTTATGGAGCAAATTGTGCTATATTGGGCAAAATAACCCTGCCTGGATCCTCCCAGATCTGCAGCCAGGGGAGCTAGAGCCTGTGCTGTCTCCAGCAGTATAAAAAGCTGCCCTGGCAAGAACCTCAGGGTGATTCGCTCTCAGGGACTTCTTGGGGAGGAGCCTCTGGGAGGAAGTTGGCCATGCCCCTTCCTGTCTCAGGCTGTTGCTGCTGTGGCTGGTTTCTGCAAGCTTGGTCTCAGAAGCTTCTAGGGAGAAGATGGCCAGGCCCTTTCCTGCCTCTGGCTACTATTAGCTGCTGGCTTGGTCTCACAGCTTTTGGAGTAAGTTGGCCGCACCCCTTCCTGCCTTGGGTGGTGGCTGCTGCTGTTGTTTGCTGCACCCTCTGGGTGGGGGTCCTCTGATGCAAGCTGCTGCCCACCTCAGGGAGGGGCCCACCACACCTCAGCTTCTGCACCCCTGTTCTGGTCTGCTACCCAGTCTGCCACCAAGCTGCAGTTGGGGGACAGCCTGGGGAGGGAGCCTGTGCTGCCTGTGGGCCCCTCACCAACCATCACTGCCAGAGCCTAAAGGAGCCTTGCCTCCCTCAGCTGCCTTGGCAGGCCACCCACACCTTCACCTCCACTTCTGCCAAAAGCATACCCTGAGTGGCTGAACTGGATGCCTCCTACCATTGCTGCTGCTGCCCTTGTTTCTGCTGCTCCCCCCTCTCAGGAGAGAGGGAGATTCTCTGCTGTACCGCCTGACACCACACCTGCACAGGATTGACTGACTCTCCTACCCTCCCCCACAGCTAACTCACAGCACCTGATCCTGATTTGTCTTCCTGCCTACTGCTCTGCTGCTGAGTGCCTGGCTGGAGGACCGAGGGGCTTCTGGACATCTTCCACAAACAAAGCCCCTCCACTGCTCCAGCCATCTTTTATACTTACCTCAGCAGCCTTCATTGTGTGTTTTTTGCCCTTGTGAGGTAAGTTCTGCAGTCCACTCCCCCTGACCTTGTGTTTGTTGTGTGGCTGAGTAAGCCAGCTCGTGTTTCCCCAGTCCTTCGGTCAGTTTTCCCCTTCCCCTACACATTCTCAAATCATAGGCTTCCCATTTTTTTTTTTTTTTTCCTGTGGGGCTGTGGCTCAGTGAGCTTCAATCCCCTTCCTCCCTATCCCCCTTCTTCCCCACAACCCCAGCCTGCCCCTGCTAGATTCACCAGCCCCGTGGGATATTTTGTTTTTGTTTATTGTCTTCCCTTCCCTCATAGAATCATAGAAGTAGGGTCGGAAGGGACCTTGTAGATCTTCAAGTCCGACCCCCTGCCTGGGCAGGAGGAAAACTGGGCTCAATTGACCCCAGCCAGG